AGGTGAGACAGAAAGTGCAAGTTTCTTCATGCTGCACAGCACTTCCCTCGGGGCAGCTGCCGCTTGCTGGCCTTGTTTGCCAAGCCCACCCTCTGACCTGGCCCCAGCCCAGCCCAGCCCAGAGGGATGCCCTCCTCCTCACCTGCACCGCGGAGGCTGCCTGCTTGCTGTCATTGTTCCCGGGGGAGCTCAGGCCGGAGGCTTGCTGCAGCAGGAACTGCCGGGCTACCTGGAGAGCCTGCAAGACAGGGCGAGTGAGTGTGCCGACCGGCACTGGGGGCTGCAGGTCCATGTAGTCCCGTCCGTGGGACCCAGGATTCAGGGAGAGTACGGGGCAGTAAAGGGCAGGCGGTCAGGGTAAGGTCAGAGTCTTGGGGGTGAAAGACAGAGGCACGCGGGGTCCACTTGGGCTTAAGTGGGGGGTAAGTATACAGATAGGAGTCTCTGAGGGATCCGAGCCTGCAGGGACTCACTCTGGAAGCTGGTGAGGTTTGCTGCCCTCGTGGCCAAACAAGAGGGTAGGTAGATCAGGGCATGAATCATAGGTACTATTTGTTAAGCATCTACTACGTGTCAGGCACTTCACAGGTGTCTGGGAGGTAAACTATCCCCTTCAAGTTCTTCTGGCTGGACTAATAAGCAAATTAACACCAGGCAGATTAGCAGGAGAAAAACATTACAGTTTAATAACACGTATGCTCCCTGTATCAGGGGAGAGACCCAGAAACAGTAACTCGCCATCGCCTTCAATACCTCCTTCAGCTAAGGACAAAAGGTGATGTTGGGGGTGGAGTCAGCTAGGAGGCTACCAGGAAAAGCACAGTGAACGGGGAAAGTGGCTGCACAGACTGAAGCCCAGGCCTTCTCCTGACAACGAGGGCAGGCCTCGCAAAGGGAGATGCCCTCACAGGTGCACCAGGCCTCACAGATGGTACTTGGTTTTCAGAACTTCTCCCGGGGCTGCTGTTTCTTAAAGTGAACCAGCCTAAAATAATCAATAGGCCGAAGTGGCATATTCTGGGGCGGCGCACTCTGCTCTCCGTCACAGGCAAGCTTGCATTTAATTCTCTCCTGCGAGGCTGTGAGGTAGGGATGTCGGATCCGCCCTATTTTGCAGATGAGGCAACAGTCTCCAGGAGGTGAAGGAACCTGCCCAAGACCACACAGCTAGGAGGGTCAGACAGGACTGGAGGCCAGGAGGCCTGGCTCCAAGACCAACTGCCTTCCTATGTGCTGGGTCCAGGGGCCAAGGGGGGAGCATTCACTTGGTCAGAACCCCCAGCTTTCTGAGTCCAGGGGGTCTAGGTGCAGGGCTTCATGGCACTGAGGGAATTCAAGTCCTGCAGTGGGTTTTGAAATGCCAGCGAGTTACACTGACTGTGGTCAGCGCTTGGAGGCCACGGTGGCTTGTGGACTCTGAGCCAGCAGAGTCACGGGCGTGGGGAGTGTGTGGCATTTACAGGAGGAGCAGCTCGGCCAGCCGTGGGCCTGGGACACGGGCGGATGGGCTCTGAGAGGTCGGGTGGCAGAGCAAGGGGTCAGGGAGTTCTTCGTAAGGTCAGCGAGGCCCTGCATCCCCCCACTCCGGGGTCAGTGGGGTCTCCGAGGCCAGGGATTGGGGACCTGTCCCAAATCACATTCCAGGAGCACAAAGCCTGTCTGCCTCCTGGGGAGCCAGAGCCGCGGTGTCAGGCGGACCTGGGTTAGAATCCCAGTGTGATGAGCCGCGGTGTAACCTTGGACAAGTTGTTCCATTTCTGTGTTTCAGTCTCCTGCTCTGCAAAACTGGGACACTGCCCAGCTCGGAAGTGCGAGGGGAATTAAAGGACTGCTTTCCTTTGTTGGCATTCGCCAAGCGTCTGCCCCTTCCCTTCTCATGAATCTCTCAGTTCCCTCCCTCACCGCCTTCAGCCTCTCCCACACAGTCTCATGCCCGGCGCACCTCTTCACTGGCACTTGCCCACCTGTGGCTCACTCACCCTGCACACACACACACACACACACACACACACACACACACACACACACACACACACCTGTCTGTCCTCACTCTCCTACCCCAGCACTAGCACCGGCAGACAAGACCCTGAGGGGGACAGGGACACACACGTAAGCACAGGCCCCTCCGCAAACACCTCCCTGGCCGCTTTCATCCTGCAGCCAGCGCGGAGCCTCCCCCGAGGCTGAACCCCAGTTTACCTTAGGATGGCATCGAAATACACTGGTCTATCTATGGGGGTGTGTCCCCCAGCAAACCTGGGGTTCAGACAGGCCTGCTCCTCAACCGCCCCCCAGATCCGGCCTCCTGCACCCGTCTCTTCCCTGGACCTCACGCCGGGGCTCGTGGCCTGGGGTTTCGTCTCTTCCAGAGTCACTTCTGAAAGTGGAAGCCTGACCTTCCGGGGGCAAAGGCTCCCTGAGGCTGTGAAAAGGGGTTCGGGCAGGGCAGGGAGAGGAAGGGAGGGGCCACGGATCGTCAGGGAGGAGCCCCTGCCCCTGCAGGCCTTGCTGTTAGACCCCTCCAGCTCTAATGCCATAGGTTGGACAAATGCTCTTTGTTCTTCAAAGGTGGAGGGTAGAGGGGTCCAGGAACAAGGTGGGGGAAGAGGATGGCTCAGAGGAGCTCCCAGGAAGTCCGGGCACCCCGGACCGGGGAGGGGTTTCTCAGGGGAAGTTGGGGGGAGACTTGCTCGGTCTCCAGGTAGGGGGAGTGGCCAGGGAGTTGGATTTACTCCCCACTGACTCTCTTACTCTGTGGTCCCCTGGAGCATGAAATTACAAGATTTACAGGAAAAAATGGCATGGGCTTGCAATCTCATTCCTGCGAGCCGGCCCTGTGACAGGCCCTTCACTCCCCCTCCAGCCCCTTCACACTCGGGGTCTCTCTTCCCCAGGGCCTCCCATTTAGACCGAGGCCTGGCCAAGGGGGTCCCTCCTGATTCTCCCTCTTCCTTCCCATTTGCTGAGCGCCAGCTGTGTGCCAGGGACCATGCTAGACGCTGGAGACAGACACAGCACATGGCCCAGCCCAGGGCTGCCAGCTGGATGCTGTGACGACAGCTGCCTGTCAGAGGCTGAAGTGGAGGTGGCCCCGGGACCAGAGCCCAGAGAGGGCCTATGCCTGGGGAAGCCTGGGGAGGTGGCGGCACTGGCCAGGGTCCTGGAGGGTGTCCCGAGCACAGTGACCCGCACACCACAGAGTAGAGTGACCCTGTGAGTCAGGGGACCTCGCCATTCCCGGGGGCAGAACGTCGAGTTGTGTTGGGGGCAGTAGTAGGAGAGGCCCTCAGGTCACCAGGGCCAGAACTCCTCCAGACATTTCACTCATTCATTCTTTCCTTCCTTCCTTCCCTCATGCTCACGGCCCCCCTGTGATTGGAGGTGGCGAGGCGATGGTGACCTACACAAGGTGATGTGTGTAATGTGCCCTGACCCAGGTTAGGGTGATTTGGATACCACCTAAACATCACCTGCAGGCACCCAGGCAGGTGTGGGGGTCATGGGCAGACCCCGGGCTTGGGTCCAAGCTGCCTTCCCTTGGTGGCTGGGGCATGCCACTGCCGGCTCAGGGCACCCACTACTGCTCCGCTTCTGCCACTGTCCTCAGCACACGCCCAGACCTCCACCAGGACGCCCTCCTCCAGGCAGCCACCCGGGGGATCCGTAGGACTGAGATTCTGTAAAACCCCACTCGAGTCACACCCACCCTGATGCACAGGGGTCGGCGTCCACACTGGCTGCTGGCACTGGGGTCTGCCGACCCTAACAGATCCAGCCCCACTTTCCCCACTTTTTTTTTAAAATCCTCTCTCAAGGATATTTTTTCATTGATTTTAGAGAGAGTGGAAAAGAGAGGGAAAGACAGAGAGAAACATCGATGAAACACATCAATTGGCTGCTCCCCACACGTTCCCTGACCAGGGCCAGGGCTGGGCCAGGGAGGAGCCTGCAACCATACGTGCCCTTGACTGGAATCCAACCCGGGACCCTTCCGTCTGCAGGCCAACACTCTATCCACCGAGTCAAACCGCTAGGGTCAGCCCACTGCCTCTGATGATGCCGACCAGGGCGCAGCCTCCCTGAAGCACAGGTGTCCGCTGTATCTGTGAGCCCCAGCCTCCCACGCACGGCAGAAACGCTGGTGAAAGTCACTTCAGTCCAGGCTGAACGTGGGAGGCAGGCACAGCTGACACGGAGCTTAGGAGCTGGCATCTGGACAGGGACTGGTGGTTTCAAAGCCCTTCTCCAAACATTTAGCTGAAGCTCCACAACCTTGAGCTGGGCAGGGCAGGTGTCACTGTCTCCCCTGCAGACTGGGAAACTGAAACCCAAGGTCCCACCGCCGGGAAGCAGAGTCCAAACACCTCTGCCGGCCCAGCCCCCACACCCAGAGGGGCCCTGGGATCTCCTGCAGTCAGTCTGGTGAGGCCTGAGCCTGGCCTCCCCTCCCCCAGCCAGGCTAGTGTTTCAGGGGTCGGGGTGTGAAGGGGAGGGGAAGCTGGTTGAGGTGGGGAGGGAAGACCAAGAAAGGAATCGCTAGGACAGCAGTTCTCAACCTGTGGGTTGCGACCCCTTTGGGGGTCGAACGACCCTTTCACAGAGGTCGCCTAAGAGCATCGAAAAACACATATATAATTACATATTGTTTTTGTGATTAATCGCTATGCTTTAATTATGTTCAATTTGTAACAATGAAATTGGGGGTCACCACAACATGAGGAACTGTATTAAAGGGTCGCGGCATTAGGAAGGTTGAGAACCACTGCTGAAAGAAAGGGGGGGCTTGGTTTCCCTTCCCTGGGGCCATGGATACCCAGACACGGCCTCGGGCGGGAAAAGGCATTTAGAATGCCACACCAGGGAGAAGCCATGGTGGAAAATCTGGGGAAAAGGAGGAAGAGGGGGCTCAGGGCAGAAACTGGGAGCCATGGCCCTGGCAAGGTAGTTCAGCTGGTGAGAGCATTGCCCCCATATGCCAAGGTGATGGGTTCAATCCCGGGTCAGGGCACATACAAGCATCAACCAATGAGCGCATAAATAAAACCAGTAAGTAAAAAAGAAAAAGATAAGAAACTGGGAGCCATTTGGATTTTTAAACCTCATTTTTCTCCTGCCTCCACCCCCTGGACTGCAGACCATATGCCCAGTTCTGTGGTTGGGGAGTAAGCTCTAGTGTCCCCCTAGGGAGGCAGGAGGGTCTACTGCAGCGGTTCTCAACCTTCCTCATGCCGCGGCCCT